CTTTCGAAACTAAGATCTTAATTTCAGATGATTTCAATAATTTTAACTATTAATTATTCAATTGTGAGAATATTAAAGTTGGTTAAAATTTAGACATTTCCGAGTATTAAGCATTTGTTATTAATCTTCTAAATTTCGCTTCTAAAGAAATTGCTTCAGATTAATGAAATAAAAATCCATATTTTTTTATCTTTAAAAAATCCTTAGGACAAAATAAGTGCAATGAATTTTATTATCTGGTATAAATTTATACAGAAATTATTATTTTAAGCATTATTTTTAAACTTTAGTGAATACTTAGCATTTGTTTCTTTCTATATCTTTTAATAACTTACGTTATTTTTTAAATAAAATACAAAGTTACTGAATATAATTTGCACGATTTCAGATTCAGTGACGTAGCTAGGGGAAAGCAAGGGGATATCTGTCCCCGGGTCCAAAAGGCGCCAAATTGAGTTTCACCACTGCATTTTAACAAACAGGACGGGACACGAATTCTTCAGTTGTCCCCAGGATCTGAAAGCCCTAGCTACGCCTTTGATTTGATGAACATTGTTTGGCGTTTTATAAGACGGTATTAGTTGCTAAATATCAAATGATAAAGAATGGTTTCCCAATGCATACTCAGATGTTCTATTATAGACACATTGGATTTGTCGCCAGTACACTCAATGATTTGGCATTTCATAATTGACCTCCGATCTCACGCCATGCTATTTTCTTCTTTTCAAATATGTCTTAAAATGTGCCCTTGCATCATTTGCCCTAAATGTTTACAGTATCTAAAAGTCCACTTTATTATTTATCTATGACAAGAACAAATGATAAGCTAAAGCAAATGTGGCAAGGACTTGAGTATTACCTTGACCCTGTGTAACTAAAAGAGTTGTATGAAAACCTTATAATCAAACCTCGGGAGCATTTTCTTCCATTTCCTTTCTTTCATTTTGGATTGATCGGAAATAAAGCCCTATTGAAATAGACAACTTCGGAAAAGAATATTGATGCGTAATTTTATTTATTAATATAATCACTTCCTATGACTTTTATCATCCTTCAGATAACTTTTCCATCCTTGTTTTGAAGGAATCTTTTGCTTTTGCAGCAAAATATTTATTTTTTTCCCGACGTCCTGAGTACTGTGGAAGTTTTATCTATACTGGAATACTATAGTGATACTGAAAATACTATGCTCACCTAAACAGGTAATGACCGGAGAGGACACTACCTGAATTTTTAGACGGATAAATAAAAATATCTGTTACTAAGCTTTTGTTCAGGCACTCTTATAGTGTGAGACTTAGCATTATCCTGCTGAAGAATTCAGATTTGCGGATTAATGCAAGTCGTTCAGTGGTTGAAGTCTGTTAAAAATTATGAAAGAGTTTACAGTAGATATCGACATTAATAGTTTGATTATGTTCTAATACTTCAAAGTACATTGTATCTTATTTATCCTTCCTTACGCAGAATAAGAACTTCTTTTATTCAACTTTGGTTGTTTTGAGAGATTTAGTTAGACTTTTGCACTATTTTGTTTTCTTCATATCCTTAAAAATGTCTCCATTTCCTTCCTTATGGAAACAGAAGCGCAAAGCAATGATCCTTGTTGACGGTTTTCAGCTGTGAATTCATAAAGAACCAAGTATCGGGATAAGAAAACTTTTTACATTCATTACAAGTCAACTGATTCTGATAGACTGTTTTTTCCAAAACGAATTAAAAAATGGATTTGAAGTGGATTTAGAAGCCTTTTTTTCTTGACCTCTGTACGCATGTACATATATACGTACATATGTATCTTGCATAACTCAACGAGTAGCCGTAGAATGTTGAAATTTTGTACATGGGACTGCTATAACATGTAGTTTTGCACCTCCCGTTTCCGGAGTTCAAAAATGTTATAGAATCGATAAAGCTGCATTATTATCATTTGCTTTCGAAGCCTACGTCCAACAGCAAGTGCATATGATTATTCAGGCAAGGCCTATCCACGTAGCTTAATGGTAGAACTTGCGGGAAAAGGGGATGCAACGAATGAAAGATAACATGTGCATAGCAAAAATGCAACTTTTTATCTTTTCATTGCTGCAACTGAATTCCACAAAAATAAAACATGATCCAATATTATATTGTCAAACTCTAAATGAATATATCGACTAGTACAACAATAGCGAAGCCACTTCATCTCTGCTAAGTAGTACAAAATAACGCTCTTACTTAAAGCCCAGATGAGTACGAAAAACATGTGACCGTCTCGCATGTTCTTTCCTCAGGCAAAAACATGAATTTAAGAGTATATACAAAGGAAGAAAATGTTAAAGCGCCGTTCCCCGCCCGTAGATGGCTCCAAAACTATTGCAGCAGTAAGCTGAGCTTTCTTTCACATAGACGACGCAAATATCTTTCTCTTTTGGCAATGCCACCTTTCCAAATATAATTGTGCCTTTCAGGCGGAGTCACTGGCAATAAAGCAAGCAATCGCCAATGCTAGAAATGCATCTTTACCGAATCTCCATCCTAGACAAATGCCACACGCTATTTGTAATCCTCATTATAAGTCACCACTTATCCGGAACATCCAGAGCCTCCGCTTCTCCTACCATGCCAGCAAACTATTATCGTCATGCGTCTTATGGCTTAATTCTCATTGAGCCGGCAAAATTGAACTTTTTTTAATAGTTCCAGCGATATGTTTGTAAGTTGAGTTGAACATCCAGAGACGATTAAGATAAAACGCAGCTGTCCATATCAATCTCCGTTGGGTCAGAAACCACGTAGGACTTAAGGGCAATACGTTAGCGGATGCAAAAGCCAAAGAAGCAGCTAGCAACTGCAATGCTTTCCAGCACCTGTTACCAACCTCACCTTCCTATATGAGGATACAAATTGTAATGGCAGTTGTTAATAGCTGATAGAATGGATGGAACACCAGCGAGTGTGGAAGACGAACTTAAACCACATTCCTAGAGTCACCATGACCCGATTCTCTTCAGTTCCGCATCTTATTCGCTACATAAGTGGCCATGGACTTTTCCTTGTCTTATTATTTTAAGCTTGCAATCGTAGATACATACATATGTGTATGCGGGAAACAGGGCCATCCATTTCACTGCTCTCCTTCTCACTGCCTCATTGCGTATTCAACTGCCAACAACTGACCTCAACGCATACAAGCGCTATATTCTCAGAACTCCAATACTACGGCGACATTTATGCAACATAGTCAACGTTCTGGCGACCTTAGGGCAAGAGACTGTTGCCAGTGAGTAGCAACTATAATCGTACTCTCCTTTTCTACAATTAATATTCATCCGGACTATAATTTGACCCACTTTCGAGCTTTTATATAGTATGTATATATGCGTCCTTTACTTTTATTTTCTGTACGTGTTTCTATGTGATAGCATTCTGTCTCTTTTAGTGACATACGTATTTTTGTGTTACGTGTAATTAAAGTGCAAATTAACACCGCAGCTTTCTTATATCTACAGACTTTATAAGTTTTCCCATCCAGTACTCCAGATGATTTTATCTTTTCGCACTTAGTCTGCCTCTATACTATGCAGTTTCTCAATAATTATCTGTATCGTACATCATCTTTAACATATACTTGCATCATAATTTTGTTTTAAGTCCTAGCATTATAATTTCACTAAGCTTGCTGTGTTTTATGTGCATGTGTACGTATATGTTCCTATGTGATAATTCAATCTATCTATACCAGTATGAATTACCGCTAGCATTATTTTGCAAATATTATATCTTACCATCTGCACCGTGTCATACAGCAGCAGTTTTGAATTGCTGTGCTTACATGTGCTTTATGGGCCCACATGTGATCTTTGTGTTTATAAGTGTTTTATGTACTTTATATAAGTGCTTGAATAACTGCATTCCTTTAAATGCGTTTATTATTTATTTGTTTATATGTGCATTCTGTATTTATAAGTATTGGTGAATATATATGAATAATTTCTCTTCATGTGTCACGTTTGTATCATCAGCTGTTCTCTGAATCACCAAACGTAACTAAATCAACAGCTCTTGTTTCACAATGTAACTAAAGAATATTTAAAATGAACTCCCGATGAGACGTCCTGTGGCCACAAGAGAGATGTGTGCCAAAGAATATGAATAGAAAAAGTAGGTAAGCTCGCGTAGCCATAATATGAAAAAGGCCTCGCTCGCCTCTGGCAACTTTAGAATCGAAGCCAGTATGCGATGAGCAAACTCGCAGGCTACTGGCAAAATTTATCCCCGAAGAATGTCTTACTTTATGCTCTGAAAATTAGCTGCTGTTTATTTCAAGACATTTTTATTCTGAAGAATGCTTTCCATACTTTTTTTTTTTTTTTTTTTTTTTTTAGAAAAAATTTTCTTTTCACAATTTATTCTTTTCTTACTTAAGTATTTAATAAATGGTTACTACTGTATTAACATTTCTAACATAATGCTATGTTAAATTATGCCTTAATTTTAAATGCCTGTGCCATTATATTTCCATAAATAAATTCATAAATGTAACGTAATATAATACGAAATATAATATAACGTAAATAATGTAATATTAAATGTAAATCATTCAATATAGCACTGTGGTTCTCAGATAAGGTTCTCAGATGTTGCTAGCGGTTTGGATAGTGTTCGTAAATGAATTTCAAGGCTTGTCTTTATGCCTATAAACCTGTCGGCGATTTTCACATTTTCAGCTTAATTTTTTCGGTGCGTTGCTGTGTCGCTGAAGCTTTACTTCTCCGAATTCAAATTCTTTGGCTCTACAGATAATGATGAATGTGGGACAATAACTGTTTACCAACGTTAGCCACCAGAAGTTCCCGTCCTCTGTCACTTGACTTCTATAAGTCAATATGCTACTGTCAATGGGAAAAATAAATTTTTAGCAGTGTTTTTCTAGTAATTTATGATGCGCTATATCAAGTTCTTTAACACGACAACTGGTACAGTAGATGTTGTAGAAAATGTATGGATTCCAAGCGTTGTCAGAAATGTATATTTTATTTAGAAATTGAACACTTACAACAGATAAAAGAAATTACGCATGCAAGTAAATGTAATTTCCATCAAAGCTGCAACCACTTAACAAGCTAACTGAAATCTAAGAATGTGATACCATTCTAGCTTGCATCTGGAACTGCAAAGCAGGCACTGGAAATTTTTTTTAACATTAAACAAAATGCAAAGTTCAACTGTGGATATGGCGAAAATATAATCATAAAACGTACAACTAAAAAAATAATGACATCAAGTTAAATGCTAAAAAACACTATTATATTACTATTCCTTAACTTGGAAAATCAACTTTTCTCAATAATGCGTGTACTAAATAGTTCCTGTTTTTTCGAAGTAGAATTTTGTGACAGCATTTAACCTGAAAAAAAAAATATGATTAGATTAAAGAAATTTAACATCTGGGAATGCAATTGAAATGGCTATAATAATTAGGGAAAGATAAATTAGGTGAAATTCAAAATCAAAGAAATTGTCATTGCAACTAGGTTTAGAGAACAGGCATAAGCTCACTTGATTTTGAATTTATCATCTAAGAAAATTATAATTTGTGGTTGTTTAAAATCGCAATATCAAAATAAGAAAGAAAATTTATTGAACTACGAGAAATGCCGTTTAAAATGCTTATTTCATGTTTTGTTACTATTTATTGCTAAGTCTTATACTTGTTTTAAGATTTATTTCATTTGATTTAGAGGATAGTTTTTTTAGTGTTTCATTAATTTACTAACTTTTCATTTGTTTTACTATTTTATTTCATTTACCTATCATTATCATTAATTTATTAATATACTTTCATTAACATCATTACATTTTATTCAATTTTAAATCATACATTATTTATTAGCTCAAAGGAGCGGTAACCCAAAATAGCGCCTAGTCTCAAAACGGCATTTTGTGGCGTTTCACTATAAACGACGGATCACCTTTTAAATTGTCACCACCAAATATTATCGCCCTGTATTACATTTTAGTTAAATAATGAAGAATCTGCATGAATGTATGTATGTTTTTCGCATTGTGAAAAAATGACTGTACCTAGGGCCATTCGGTTTTGAATTATGTAATCCTCCACCCGAACATGGATACTTAGAAGCCCGAATTTATTTATTATCATTTTTTCAGTGCTCCTGACGGCTTTCCCAAAAGTTTCAAGCTTTTTTAATTTTAGAAACTAAGCTCTGCATATAGCTATTGCATGGCTTAAAATATCATCGGAGACTTTGCAAATTCACTAAATTCATGACTATTAAACCCCTGGGAATAATAGTACACTATAAGGACTAACTGAGTGTAGGCCATTTGTAAGTTTATGAATAAGAAATAAGATAAAGTAAAGCGCAGCCTGTGAAGACTGCGTACGGCTCGAAGTTGTAGAACATATTGCGCGTTTTATATAGAGCCGATAACTTGCCACTTGTACAGCAGATGAGATGGCGGCTTTATCTCACGTGAAAAACCTAACAATTTTTAAAATAACTACATTTAACTCGGAAATCATTGTCTCTCAAATAATTTAAAGTAATTTGAGCTTATTGAAATTAGTAATGCGAATTACATTCTAATAATCAGTATGGCAGCATTAAGAAATGAGGATATTAAATAAAGTTTCATTTGCATGCAAATAAGTTTAAGCTTAAATAAATTGTAATTTTATAAAATTTATTAAAATGCACACAATAACTAATAATTTACGATTATACATATGGAAATTTAAGTATTTTTTATTAAGTAACAATCAATTGGAAAAATTTTTGAAGAAATACATTTTACAAAATCTATATCTAACCATTTTGCGTTTAAATAAAATTAAAAGTTTCTCAATAATTTACTAAACTTTAAAGCGAAAATATTTTTTAATAATTTGTTAAACTGTCAAAATTTTTATTTTTCAAAAATCGCATTTTCAAAAATGTCATCCATTCTTCTGTTTGGATCTGTATAGCTTCAGGGCTGCTTAAACTTTTTCCAGTCGCAACCCCTTTTTATCACTGAGACTCCCAGGACCCCATAATATTTACGAAAATTTTATGGGACCTCATAAGCTTTCTGCAAAAGCGACACACGCGTGAGTGAAACTGTCAATTTTTCACCATTACTGTAATATACTATTACAGTTTTAGGTCATTAATTTCTAATCTTAGTACATAGAACAATGTGAAAATTTTAAATAAGTAACAGACGAAATGACAGCTTCGGAAAATAAACGTTTATATTATAAAAAGAATGCGTCGAGACGTTTTTCTTTGTCTGTACCATCTAATCTTTATCTATTTTCAGATACATTGTGTAAAAATATTTCGTAATTGTAAAATTATTATGATAAGTTAAATAAATATCAAAACTGCTAAAATTTTTGGCAACCCCCTGCTTTAGGTCCCGAGACCCACAGTTTAAGAAACTCTGGCTTTAATTATTTTAATTACCTCCATTTTTAAAACAGACATAATAGTAAAAATAAATATTATTAGTAAACTTTTAGCTGCTATTTAAAGGTTACTCACCTTCCTTAACTATTAGATCGAATATAATAATCCATCCCGACAAACACTCTACTTCTGGGTCTCACGCAGTCTTTCGTAAATTCATGTTCTAGCCAAGAAACTCCTAGTCTATTTGCATCATTCGGATATATATGACCTGTAATTTTAGAAAACAATGAGCAGATATCAAAGCGTAATTGTGAATACTAGAGATTTTTTTTTATGTTTCATATATCCTTTTAAAACTCCATATTAATCAACTATTCATATTATCAATTATTTCATATTTTAGTTAAACATCATATGATACATTTATTACTTGTACAGGTTTGTTACTATTTTTTCGTACCAGTTAAAAACTGGAATGAAATTTTATTTGCTAAAACTGGGTATTTTTTCTCCTGTTCCGCATTTCGCGTCTTGTTCTTTAAGACATACTGATACACTCATCACTAAAGAGTCGGAGAAAATAATAAATCGTAATAAACAGAACTTGTACAGCATTTTCTAGTTTCTTTTAATCCTTTTATTTCACTTAAGATGTTCTACAGACATTAGGCATTTCATATACTGATTGTCTCGGATAAAGTATCGAATGTGTCATCATGTCTCGTACGTACCATCATGTCACAGACATGCTCAGCCAACACGAAATCAGACTACTAATCATACAGTCGATATTACAGAGACAAATTTGAGAGAGCCTGATCAGTATGTTAATGTACATTGTTTTCCTGATAATTCTGGTGATCAGAATGTTAACAAACCAAATCGCAAAATACCATCACTATTTTGTGCTATTGCGAGTGTATATAGAGGCTACTTAGTGCCTCTGACTAGGTTCTCGGCATTTTTTTCCTCATACTGAAAATATGTTTTATTTTAGACTACTGATAGCCAATTAAGATTTATTAAGAGTTTCTAAATTGTATCTTTCTTCAGTATCTTACATATATATATAGAACAAACTTAAAGAGGATGTTGAAGTATTTAATTTTTGAATTTAATAGCTAAAAATACCTTGTTCCTCTGCGTACCACCGGTTGAGAATCGTTGCTCAACCGGTGGTACTTATTTGAGAATCGTTGCTCAACCGGTGGTACTTATTTGAGAATCGTTGCTCAACCGGTGGTACGCAGAGGTCTTGTGACATTAAAACTAAACAACGTTTTGATCAGTACCAACTCAATAACATTTTAATCAAATTTTGATCCCATTAATTTGCTCCTAGAAAGAAATAAATACGATCTTTCTTCCAAATGAGTGACAAAAGAATTTCATAACTTGAGATATGGCAGGCATGCGTAAGTACGTAAATATATGGTGCCTGAAATAATTCCACATTGTAATAAAAACTTACCAACTCCTCCTTTAAATTTTTGAGCAGATATCGGAGAAACGAATCCAAATGCTGTAAAATTTTCTTTCCCATCAAACTGACCGATCATTTCAAAATTATTATAAAATCCTAAAAGAAATCAAGAAAAATACATTATAAACAGTCATTAGGAAATTTTTTCCAGACCTTTTTCGTTTATTTGAAGCAGTTTTAAAGCATGCATATACATGTTACAATATCCATGATCACCTAAAATTCAACAAGCAATTAAAAGCATTTGGATAAGTTATTACATAACTACAATTTTCATTACGATATGTTATAAATGAAAGCGATCTTGAAACTATAAAAATTATGTGCCTGACAATGTTTAAAAATTATCAAAACCTTCAAATTACCGAATTCAAGCGCTGGGTGATTATATCATATAGTTATTGCTTTATATTGTGTTCGAACATTTGTTATTTTTATGTATATATATTATATTTTTACCTACTATGTCTAGGTAATTGTTAACCTTCAAAAAGAATTTTGTTAAATTATTCGAATTTTACAACGTGTTTTGGGGCTACAGATTTAAATGTAGTTAATAACTTGGAATAATATAACGAAATACACATTTGTGATTTTTTTCCTTCCAAGTAAAAGGTTGCAATTAAATAATGCTTCTGCTAATAATTATGGCACGAATTTAAGTGTACATTATTTCTGTAAATTTTGTTATATGATTACAATTTTCTTCATGGAGCATAATATAGCTTATAAATCAATTTCGCTATCATATATTAGTTATTTAAGAACTTGCTTAGGTTAATAGTTTTTAAATAAAAGAAACGCCTTTGAGGGTTAAAGCAATCAATAAACCATACTATTGAAAATGCAAATATGATGGGTCTGCAATCGTAAGAAACGTTTCTTCCCATCGTCTACTATTGAAACATGTTAATCCAAAATTTTGTGATATTCCGTACGCAACTGCTCGCCTTATGATGTTCTACTTAAAGAAAAAATATCATTTGGAGAAAAAGCTAAAACTCACATTCTAACGTAAATAATTATTTTTAACTTAAATTGTAAAATACTCCTGATTTGTAAATTTCATCCCTTATGTTATGTCAAGCATTTATTATTTTACTCCCGAAAGCTCTCAGATTTTTATGTAGCTTAATTAAAAGGGAACTACACGAGGATTCGAAATTAATCTGCTATATTAAATTATATATTATCTGAAGTTATGTTATCCTTTATTATTAAAAAATTTTGGGTTCTCCATGAACTTCGTTAACACAGTCAAATAAATTTAAATTTCTTCGTCATATAGAATAACTGCGTCAAATGGACTTAATTCCATAAGTCAAATAAATGAATGCATCTTCTGTAACAATGAAATTGCGTAATTGAAGCAAATAAGCCACCAAAACTCTGATTTTCATTTCGAACTACAGCAGACATTTTGCTAATAGTTTTGTAGTTCACAACAATTTTTGAACACATAGAAGCTGACTTTAATAATCACTTAATTATCTTGCAACACAAATACTAAATATTTAACCCCACTCCCTGTAGCAGAATAATAATTTCAGTCAAAAACATTATTGTGACATTAAAATAGCTGAAACAAGTAATCTGATTGGAACATAAACATAATTTAAACGTACTTGAAACATGAAAAATCAGAATTTAAAGATCAAAATAAAATTTTAAAAAATTGTATTTTTACCTAAACTTTATTTTATCAAAAGTGTGCATATACTTAAAGAATTTCAAAAGAAATCAAAACGCTAACAGATCAATACTCTGCAATTTCCTGTAAGTTATACTTGCATTCTTTTCTGCAATTTTACTAACAAAATCACTCAGAATGACCCTCTTTCTCACTTTGCAAACTGATAGACTTAAAAGATAATAAAACTAAGATTCTTATATTCTTTGCCTCTGGGATATATATGTAAGATAAAAAAATATATAAGGGAAAATTCTAACTTTAATTTGCAATAGTCTCTAGAATAGCCATTTGGAGTTAGTATTTCCTCTTTCGATTCTAGATATAGTAACTACTTATGGTAAATTGCTCTAAACTGCATCATTTTAAAATTAATCCAATGTCATATGATTTTTACATAACGTTAATGACGCGAATAATTTTGAAAACTTAAAACCACAAGAGAAAAATCAGTCTTTCCGAAACTTTCGTCTTAGACATGTCGCATTCAATTTCTGTTTTCTTTCTTTGCTTCGTCCCAAAAGATGTAACGGTTCCAGGATGGCGCTTTTGCATCACCTTATCTCTGTTGGCGACTGAAAATGTGTATTAATGAGAACAAAAAGGAATATTAAAACAGGACATGACTGCAAGCTTCTTCTTCATACCATCTACTTCCAAACTATTTCAGCAATTATACGCCAAACTCTGTCATTCCATGAAACATTTCTCTGTTCCGTTGTGACATCAGTTTCTATATCATTTTCATCATATATATGAGTGTGTGTATATATATATTAGGGTAAATATTAGGTGGTCCCCTCGCTTCTACATAACATAATATATATATATATATATATATGTACAGATGCATAAAAGAATGGCAATATTTAACCTACAGTATCAAAGATGTAAAATAGCTAATTCCGAGGCAAAGAGTTCACATGGGCGGGATGAAAGCGGAAAGAATCAAAATGATGATTTATTAATTTATAATTTCTTTCTCATTCTCAACCATAACGGTCTTAGTAAAATCTATAAGGAGAACTATCTATATTTATAATATCTATAATGAACTGAAGAATGAGAAATCTCAGTCAACAAAAATTGATTAATTATTTATTGAAGCAGTTTCAAGCAAAATTTAGAACTTATAGTTCTAAAACCTATTCTAGAGCAAATAAGCAAAAACAAGTAATGTAATAGAAAAAACAAGGAATGTTAAAAATTAACATTTTATTAAAAATAAATAACGAGAATAAAAATTGGAATAAATTGCAACCCCTATATTAACCCTAAATTACCTCCTGCCGTTCTGTTTCCATAAGTGTTTGTAACATTTAAAATATCACCAATGCCTGATATCCAAGCTCCTTTAACTATACCTGAAAAAAATAACAGTATTAATTCTCTCACATAAAAAAATTACTCGAAACAATATCCATATGAATTCTTAAAGCAATATATTTATTCCTGAAACAAGATACAAACACGTATGAGAATTACGTTAATGAGGAATACGTTTAAAATCAGCTCAAAGCATTGCATGTCATACTTACCACTCATCAACAGAAGAAAAAAAATGACAATTCTGTCTGAAATCGTTTGATAAACATTCATGAAATAAAAAATAAAACTTTAAAAAAATTCTAATTCATAAATACACATGTTCAAAATTAGAGAAAAACTATAAAAGTGATTCTTAGGGTGCAAAATCTGTTCGAAATTCCACAGTGGTTAGTATAATTATTTAAAGTAATTTTAAGAAGTTAAATACAAAAGCCCACAGCTGTCTAGTTATTTGTAGACCGAATATGCAAATAAGGATACAGATAATAAAAGAAAATATGTAGTGTTTTAAAGTGGTTAGAAGTTGTTTATCATATCTGAAATACGTCATTTACGTGAAGACCAGCCGCGGCAATTGATTAAAACAGTGTCAAACAAACTCAGTTATCTGTAAAGAGCTGAATTTTCCCCAAACTGTGATTTCAAGAATTTGAAACTGCGTTTTAATCATGGGAGCAGTTAGTCATCTTGCTTATCAAGGTCATTCGAGAATAATTGCAATGCTGACACGAAGAAACCGTTACACAACCGCCAGATAGGGAACTTCTCAATAATATCTTGCTTTCAGATAAACAGACCTATAAACCGTAGTTTTAAGGCTTCGTACATATAAGGGTTTTGTAAATAATAAGGCGTAACAGTCATTACTAAGTCTGTTCACTCCTGTGTAAAAGGATTTAAAAGACGTAAGGAAGTTCAAGTTGCGCATGCACACGCTGGCTCAGCAAAGCAACTGACCGAATGTCAGTTCATGTTTGTTTTGCTATGATGAGAACGTTTTTATAATAAGCTGACATAAAATCGGAAAACTAGAGTATGTAAGCAAAATTCTTAAACCATTTTTGTGAAAGTAACAAGGTCTGGTTTCCTAGCAACGAACTCGGCTTATACAGTGATAGCAACCTCTCGCCTGGATGAAACCTCAACTTTACGTCAGAAGATCATTGTACTGTATCTCGCTTTCTTTGTCTTCCAAGGAGCTTTTAAGAGAACATTTTAAGGTGGAACATAGATAAATGGAGTCGAGAACTGTTCATGAAATAACATCACACCATCTCTTTTAATAGAATAATATTAAAAGAGAAAAAACCTCGCCCACAACTCTAATCGCTCTTTTATCTACTGAAGTTTTAATCACAAAATATAACAGGAACATAAATATTTATGCAGAATTAAAATGGGGAGTCTATAATTACCTTCCATGGCAGGAGAAGATACGGATGATTCCACTGTGACTGAAGAAATCTGAAGGAAGAAAAACGTTGTACACAATGCAAATCAGTTATACACCTCAATTTTTTTTTTTTTTTTTTTTGATTAGAAAGGCCTAAATTTTTTACTGTATAAATTTCCTTTTTCTTTACGTATTTTGTATAAAAGTTTTTTAATCGCACTCTTTGATTATTTGTTTCAGAATAGCATTTATATTTTTGAGGAATGCACGTCTTTTAAATAATAGCCTTATCATCACCTTTTTTCGTACTTTGCCTAAATAAACATTGCTCATTATAGAAAATGTCTAGGTGTTCTATACAATGCCCAGGGAAAGTATATAATAGTTCTGATATTTCGTACTTTGCCTGAAAACACCAAGTATTCTATAAAAATGTTTAGGTATTCTCTCTCTCTATATATATGCATATATTATTGCCGTATAAGGGTTTTGTTATTACAAGCTACTGGCTGGTCTCTTTACAATAAATAATCATTTAAGATAATAGAAAGGAAATTTCTGGTTTGCTGCAAAATTTACGATACAATAAAGAAACGCGAATACTAAGCAACAGTCCTTCTTTTAGGGCACCAGAAATTTCGTCAATTCCCCAAATCATTTACGGAGTAAACTCTAAATCGCAATTCAATTCTTTGAACAGCTAAATGAGTTCCGTAAGGCACTTATTTGTCTATATCTCGAGTTCTGTTAGAGCTATTTTTACAATTTAAACATAGTTGCACTCAAAACTGAAAGATCAAGATTTCTATATATGAAAGGACACTTATGTATATATACGGCCACAAATACAAAATAAACCATAAAAGCAACAAATAAGTAAATCATTAAATAAATAAATGTACACTATTATACGAATGCAAGAAAAAGAATTTAAATGTTTACGGAACTTACAAATATATATAAAGTTTTGATTTATTATAATAGGTATATACGTAATAAGTTATGGTCGCATTTAAAATTGAAACATCCACACTAACCTGGCTTCCTGGTTGGCTACCACTGCCACTGTTCTTTCGAGTGAAGGTGTTTTGGCGTACTAAAGTATCCATCCATTGCTCCGTAGGATTTCGTACGGCTCTTTGTAGTACCCAAGTAGTAAAAATGATCTCTTGTCCATCACACACTAAGCACTGGCCTAAATTTGAAAAAGTTTTAAAGTATAATATAAGCAGTGCAATGCTGAAAGTTCCTTTATAAGATTAATATTCTCCGGGAGTCTTTGTCAAAATCTTCTAATGCTGACATCCACTGTATATGCAAAAATTACTGTCTAAATTTAGCTCAGTCGGTTAAACTTAGGCATTAATTTTTTTCATGATAAACAACAAAAATAATACAGCTCATCAATAAAGAAAAAAATTTTAAAGTTAATTTATGGGAAAGCATACATAGAAAGTAGACTTTTCATTTTCGAAAATGCATTAATCTATTTCCTAAAATGAGTGTAAAAAATTAAGTAGTTAAAAGTTATCTCAACAGGAAAATCTATATTTCACTGAAAAATGACAAAATATGTCTTAAGAAATAAACATTATTATGTAACGTTTTTTACACTGAAAGTACTGTAGAATGGTTTTAATCAGGGACATAATTTTCAGAGGAAGGTTTAATTTTCATTTAGCTACTTTTTCATAATATATATATATATATATATATCGTGTGCGCAAAAGTCCCTAATCGACCTTTTATTTCGTAGCCGTTGTTCGTAGACATATATTTCCAATTTCAAAAAATGTTTCAAACATTGCATTGTTTTGTCATTTTTTAATTTAAAGAAATCAATTATATAAAAATTACGAAATCTAACTTTTTGTGGAACATCATATTCAGGGACCGTAAACAAATTGAAAAGTGAAATGTAAGTGATTCAAAATAAAATATTAGTTTAGAGAAATGTTTCTAATGTACATTAAGTAATTAGCATTTTTGCGCTAATAATTGTGAAAAGTATTAATTAACGTAACTTTCTGTTTCCAAAATGGAGATTGTATTTACAAAGATCTTATAGAATTCGGGTTCTAGAAAACATTAGCAAGCTTTAGTATCGGCATTGTAGTAACTTATAATTAAAAATGAAAAATATTCGTACTTTAAGAAATTGTTTGCATGATTACGTTCAAAAGTACTAACACTTTATGAGAATATTAATAACATACTTTGAGACTTCGAAAACATGTAAATTACTTATGTGAAAATTCTTTCGCCATACCAAATGTAACAAAATTATAAACTAAAGACATTGCTAAATTATAAAAGAATATCATTGAATGTCATTAAAGGGAAAAATAAACTTCAAATCATTGTAAATGATTTATTAATCGATCCCTCAATCCAATTGAAAACTGATCTCAGAAAAGGCAAATTTTTAAACCGAATTTTTCGGATAATTTTTATCGTTCAAGAGTAAAGCATTTTGCATTTTATTTCATCGTTTTGTCAAATTTTTAATCCTTTGATCTCCAACTGCCAATTAATGTTATTTTTTCAATAAGCAAATAATTAGAAAACATTTTTGATTACACTCTGAAAATGCTTTGGATCATAATACTGCAGCTTCCAATGCTGCATTTAAAGAAATATATTAAATTACGAAACCTCATTCAATTACTTTATCATTTGTGACTAAATAATATCTGGTTGACAATAAACAAAAATACAAAGAGCTAGGCTTATTTAAATTTACTGATTTCTAAACTTATTCCATAGGGAAAGATTATTTCAAAAGGTGTTTTTTTGTCTGGTAAGTTGTAAACTAAACCCATGTAGCTAATTTTTGGATTTCAATTCGAAAAAGACGTAAATAGGTTACATATAATAATTTTGTTCGTTATAAGAATCCTACCTGCATTTTTAACTTTATAAATCATGATAATTTCGTTCAAAATCATTATATGTAACCTAGTTGTATTTTTAACTTCAGAAATAAGGATATAAATTGGACGAATACATAAGCTGTGTTTAATGTAAATTTTTTTATTCATTTTGCCTCAATTATTTTTTTTAATTGTGTATTTCATATATAATTATTTATGTTTTCGTTATGTTAATGTGATTTGAGCTATGGTATCAATACGAAAATAATAGAATTCTGGAAATACGAACCATCCAGGAATATGACTATACGTAAGTGCACTACCGCTAACACAACAACCTCTAAACAACTCAACATAGTTCTTGCATTCCTCGTTGCAGATTTAGGATGGGATCGAGACATATGTGCAAAAGACAAATTATACAAAAGAACACGATAAAGAAAAGAAAAGCCGAGTAAAAAAATATGCATTTTCAGCAATAAGTTTTCTTGAAAAGTCAGTAATCTTATCGAATACTGCCATTATTTCAGTCTTAAACACAACTCACATGCACATAATTATTTAATCCCACAAAAATTAAAATATAAAATTCTGAAATATTTCAGATCTTAACGGTCACCCCAAAGGGATTGCTAAGGTTTTTTACAATCTAGCACTCTACCTGTCTGCTCTTATACTCACTTCCATTAACCCAATTTTTTCTTACTTTTTAGTTTTATTATTAAGCATTATTTTCTTCGCACTTACGACATATACAATTCAACAGCAAAATTACAAAAATTTTAAAAGTATCATAGCAGTATACTTTTCGAATCCCCGACTCAGAGATAAGTGTTGGCGTACATTTTTTTTTTTTTTTAAATCTTTTCTTCTTACTAAGATGGCCTTGCAAAACTTTGCTTGTCTTTTTATTATTAATATCTTGTGTGTTTGCTTTATTTATTAAATATCACGTTCTTTGCACTTGCGCTACGTAGAATTTGATTCAACATCCAAATCATAAAATATTTAAAAACAGCAATCTTTAAAATTTCCGATAGACAGTCTCGTGCACTGGAGATAAAAATATTTTTTCCGTACAGTGTTGCAATTGCTTGCTTTGAAATCGTTGAGTTCGTTAATCAAAAATTTGTTAAAGGTTTTACAAAATATGAAATAGATAATAAAACAAACCCAAAATTCAAAATTCGGTCTTCCAGGTGACTGTGTTCGGGCGGAAGACTACGTTATTCAAAATTTTATGACTCTGGGTATCGTTTTTTTTCCCCATGAGAAGCATGCATACATTTATTCAGATTCTTCATTATTTCATTTCTTTAAATCTAATACAGGGCGATAATATTTGCTGGCAAAATACTGAAAAGTGATGCGCCATTTATAATAATTCAGCGCAAAATGCCATTTCGAAATTAATATCCAATCCGAGACTAATGTCCTTTTTGGGATACAAATTCACAGTCGTAAACAAAATGCTATACAAAGTATTTAGGAAGAACATTAAGGGTTAAGTGCTGCAGATGGAACGAACTTTTTATTTGATCTGAAAATGTTTCCTTAATAAACTGAAAATTACTTTACATAATGTACAGTGGGTAGAAAAAGTATTTGCACACCTACATTTTTGTTTGCAATTCATAAAAAGAAGCATTAAGAAATAAAAAAATTGGTATTGCCAAATCAGAATAAGTTTAATCATCCAAAACAAACAGAAAAATTACAATAATATAAATAACAATGCTTTTTTGTAACAAAAATTAAAATATCTCGTATCAAAAAAGTATTTGCACAACTGCATGAATACAAATGAAATAAAATATACAAACAAATTTCAAATAACTAATATATAGTATGCATTCCTTTAGCATCTATTACTGCTTGTAATCTTGCTGACATTAATTTAATTAAATTTTCTGTAACAGTAGGCATCAAGTATTCTATCACTCTTCAATAAGGGCTTGTTTAAGGGCAGATTTGCTTGAAATCTTCCTTTTTACTTCATTTTTAAATTCCAAAGAATTCCATAAATATGTCCAAAGGATTTAAGTTTGGTGATTGGTGGTGGAGTGGCAAGTTTTCTGGGAACATTATAAAGCAACCACATACGTGTTATACCGGCAGTGTGCTTGGGATTCATTGTCTTAGCTGAAAATAGTACGAATTACACTGATACCCAATTTTATTGCACTTTGTGGCAAGTTATCTCGCAACACATCAATATAGGTTCGAGCTGTCATATTCCCATCAATGAAACACAAATTACCAACTCCTTTGCTAGCCATGCACCCCCAAATCATAACATAACCTCCTCCATGTTTCACTGTAGGTAACATATTTTTGGTATGAAAAGCAGTACAAGGTTTTCTCCAAACTAATTTCCTGCCATCTGATTTAAAGATATTGAACTTACTCTCGTCGGAGAATATGACATTTTTCCAGAAATCAGTTGGCTTATTGATATATTCCTTAGCGAATTCAAGTCTCTTCAATCTATTTCGTTCAGTTATGAGAGGTTTTTTTCCTTGGAGATCTCCCATAAATGTGTGCATCGTGCAGGACATTTCGAACACTTTGGGCACAGATTTGAACTCCAGATGTTGAAGCGACATCATTGGCTAAAGTAATTGCACTAATAAATGGATTTTTCGATGCTTCTCTTATGAGTTTTCACTTCATTCGCAGTGAAAGTTTCTTTGATTGTCCAGAAGACAAGTTATTTGATGTAGATCCTCTTTCTATATGACGTTTTATAACATACCGAACAGTAGAGAAGCAAACATGTACGTTTTTTTACCTATTTTTCGATAACTTAGGCCATTTTCACGTAGAGAAACAATTTTTCTCGCAACGAAATCGGCAATTCAGTTTTCTTAGGTGCCGTTACAGTTTGAAATCGACAATCAACTGATAACGTTTCTACAATACCTCCTTTTATAGTCGTCTTACGTATGTTATTTACTGTGGGAGGACTGTCAAATAATAGCATAAAACTCAAATTTGCTAAAGTTGAGTTGAGTGTGCAAATACTTTTTTGACATAAAATATTTTAATATTGTTGCAAAAATATTTTTTTATTAATATTATTATATTTTTTTGTAGTTAATTTAAATGAATAAGCTTATTCTGTGTTTTAAATGCCAATTTTTGTATTTTAATTCATTTTCTTATAAATTGTGAACAAAAATGTATGTGTGCAAATACTTTTTGTACCCACTGTATGTAGCTTCTGCTGTTTCATACCGTTACTTTTCTTTAATTCATTTTTAAACAAGATTGCATGACATTTTTTAAAGTAAAAATTCCTATTTTAATCTTTATCATTATTGATTTTAGTTTTCTTCAAAGTTGCCTGTTTAGATAAACGAAGCATATTTCATTTTGATAACTGATAAATTGATAAAATTTATTTGGTCATCTTTTGTTTTTTTATCTTAAATATTATTCTCTAAGTTCTTTCAGACAAACGGAAATTCAGGACAGATATCTCACTCAGCATTAAGGTTTCCATATGTTTATGTGTGTATATTTAAACGTGTACATTTTATTATACACTAATATTTATATCGTACGTATAAAAGTTATGCATTATTTATAACTTAAATTTCACATTCAAATGATTAAACTGGATATCAATGAGAATTTTATACAATAAATGAAAAACTAGTCTAAAAAATGTAGATGGTTTCATTAAACTTACCAACCCATGACGTCAAAGACGATCCATTATTATAAAGCACAGTAAAAGAAAGCAAAGATCCGTCCTCGAAAGGTAAGAATGCTCCTAGAATTGGAAAATAAAGGTTTAAGATAGCTGAAAGAATATTGTATAGCAATACCTAAGTTACACAGAAGAAAATTAATCAAAAGAAAGTAGATCCGGGGGAGTCTGTCTTTGTATATAAATACATATGAATTAGATTTAAATAGGATGAACAGCTAAAACAGCATTTTTTTTAGAAAAAATATATATAATACAGTTTTTAAATACATGCCTATAAATATTGGTTTGGCAAGAAAATATTTTAGGTTTTTTAGTGGTAAATAAAGCTCAATTTTTTCTGAACAAAAACTGAACTTTAATAAGCCAAATATCTTCCATACTTTTCGATGACCTTTTGCCATCTTTCTGGTAACTTCATGATCCCGTGCCCATAAAACTTCTGGTCTTTATTAGCAAAAACCTGAGCCAAGTACGATTTGATATCATCGTTATTACTGATAATTTTACCATTTAAGACAATCCGATGGTGCAAGGTCGGGGTTATATGGGGTATACGACATTAGTTCCCAATTAAGCTCCAATAAATTCGTACCTGTTTCTATAGATGTGTGAGGCCTCCTATTGTCATAAGTTGTTGGCAGTAAACATCAGAGTAATCGTTTGGTTGCTTGGAAGCAGCTTACAATGCACAACACTTTGGTTATCCCATCAAATTGACAGCATGATTTTTTTTTCTGATGCAATTTAGCTTTCGATATGATTTGTGCTGATTCATCATGCTTGGACCACGATCTTTTTCGATTAATGTTATTCTAAGCGATCCATTTATTTTTATCACCAGTGATAATTCCTCTTAAAAAAAAGGTCGACGATATTACGTGTGAAATACGTATTGCAAATATTGATTCGTTGTGTTAAATGAATTTCTTTCAATTCACATGGAATCCAAATATGGAGCTTCTTAACGAGTCTAAGACATCTTATGTGAGTTTCGATTGTTGTGTGTGATAACATTCAATGTTTTTGCAATCTCTTGCAGTTATATGATGATTCCATTCAATGATGGTTGTAATTTTTGTCATAATCAACTTTATAAGTTCAGCCAGAATGTTGGGCACCTTCAAGTGAAAAATTTCCAGAATGAAATTTTTTAACTAATTATGACACATGCTTTCTCTTAAGCAAACAACGCCATAAACTTCACTTATCTCTTTCTGAGTCTCAGCAGCTTTCTTGCCTAACAAAAAAGTAAAATTTGGCAGAAATGTTTAATTTTTTCGCCTCATGTTGAAACTATCCTTAAACTAACAGCTCTAAGAAAAATACACTGAATTTGTTTCTATAGCAACTTAAAAGTTTCAGCTACAAGAAAAAAAATGATAAGATTGACAAAAGAATGACAAAACGAATGTTACTTTCTTGTCAAACCAATAGTATTGTTACGAATTTTGTACAGAGAGAGATATTTTAGTGCAGTTAGATATGTGAATTTTTTTTTCTGTATAATGTAACATTAAAATCTAGAGAAGTAATTGAGTAAATGACTCTCGCGCTAATTTTGTGAGATATCGCCAAGCTGGCAACGGTTTTGGCTATTAATTTTTGTCTTCAAATTCGTATAGAAATCTCCTAAACTCGCCAAACTTGGCGACCATTTTGCGACATTTTGATCCGGTCCCTGTATCACCGCAAACTTATCTAACGGCTCAATGATTTTTAGTCTCGTAAAATTTCGTGGTAGCAAGCTAATATTTTTTTATTCTTTACCTTGCAGCTAGAACACATTTTTCATTAGAATCAGCGTTTCCCCAGATTTGTAGCTTTTTATCAACTGACCTCAAACCTACCGTCAAGCTTCTATACGACAGTATAATATGTTTTTCTGGCGAATCTGTGTGTAGGTGTTGGCTACTTCAGGTAATGATTTGCTCATGCACATCTGTAAGCTCTTAAATTGCCAGCTTTTTGCAATGCAAGGGCAACATCTCTGACGTAATCACTATCAACTTAAAAATTTAATTTCCTGCCAAAATTGTCAGTTTCCTCTATTACAGGAATAACTGAACATTTTTAGCATTATTTTCGTCTCGTTTCTAAAACCTAACGGACAATATCTTTTTCCAGATATCATTCCAGGTATTTTGGTACGTGTCACTCCAAGATTCCGTAATGAAAAAAAAATGGACGGCTTAACACTGAACTCGTGTATATGGTGGTATTACTATATTGCATTTTTAGACACTAAAATAGTACCATCGTCGATAGGGAATTCTGTTCATCAACTGTACAATTTTCTAACAAGCAAAACTTACACCCTTCAGGCTAAAAATTATTCAATCTCCTGACGGGAAAAATCCCAGATATGCCAGATGTCAGATGTGAAAAATAACACAAATAATGAATGCTGCTCAAAACATGACGTAAAAATTGGTAAAATATGCTATAAAAATTTTCCTTGCTTTCACTAACAATGTTTATTTAAGCAGAAGGGCAGAATCACTTGTATGATTAACATGCTGGATAATTTCTCGCGAAAACCTACATTGGACAATTGGATATCGCATTATGAAGCTTCGAAAGTTTCATTGTTCGCCTCTAGATATAGAAATTTTCGATAAAGTGTGGCATGAATACTTATATGCAAACTGTTATATCGCAAGGCAGTTTTTAAAAAGTACATAAACTATCATTAAAGAGCTCTTGTGCGCTAGCAAAATTTTCGATTGCATATTTGAATTTAACAACAGAAGTACTACAAAAGATTAAAAACTCATTATTTAGTGTTATCGAAGCAACGTTCGAAGCCAGAAATGCATGCTAACAAATCATCTCTGTAAATTCTCATAAGCTTTTAATTAAAAATTAGGATTAAATAAGATGAATTTTGCTTAATTTTAAAACCGCAAAGCAGCTTTAACTATCATTCAGAATAAAAAGTGTTCCCCAAAATTAAAAAATTTTAATAATCAAAGAATAATATCCAAAATTAAGTAAAATGCAAACTTTGTTCTGCGCAGAGGTTGGGTAAAGCTGTATGTATTTCAAGGGCAATCAGACACAGGGTTTTCATCTTCAAGAGCGAAAATATTTTTGCTAAATTTTTGCAAATATTTTTTTCTCCTGAAGAAGAGGGATCTGTGTCTATTTGCCCTTGAAATTTGTAGAGTTTTATTCAAAATGTAACCGATAATAAATTTCCAGCTAAAAATGTTTCGGTAAAAAATATTCTATTGGAGTAATTTTTATACTCTTTTTTTTTTCCGTAACATCTCGGTATCGATTCGAGTAAACAGATTTCCTATTTTGGGAAATTAAGAATTATTTCCGCTTGAGGGAAAAACTTGTTGCAAACATCGTGCGCAAGCGATCTAGTGTGAAATAAATTTTCAGCTACATTTTTAATAATTATATCTTAGTTGAATAAGCGTAAAAGTTTGCAAGTAGCGTTAATTTACGATGAACTGATATCACATCAATTTTTTCTGTCATTTGATTTTACCTTTTTTGAATAGCTCAGTTTACTTACAAGATTTTATTTTCTATGTAGTTAATTTTTAAGATACTAATTCTTAAACCAGAAGACCTGTCGTAACTGCTTAAGTTGAAACTGTTTTAGCTATAAACTGAAATTTGTATGCTAAGGTCAGATTTCAGATTCCTTTTAAGTCATACATTTTACATTTTGAATTCACTTTTCATTTAATTCATTAAATCTTTTTTAACTTTACTTGTAAAGTGTTGAGGTTTTAGACTGAAATCTAAAATTTTCAAATCGCAGTGTTTTCCTGTTACCTGTGAGATTAGAAGTGAAAGCAGCAGCTCCTGGGTTGCTTTCTACAGCTGTTCTGTACTGGCCAGTTATTTTATTGAAAGGCAAGTTGACGATGGTCATAGTCGAGTTCAGTTCATTAACCCAGACACCGGAAAGATCTTCACATTGATATCCTAGCCAAAGACAAATAAATCTAAAACTACAGAAGTCATAAAATTTATATTATTAAATATTATTATAAAGTATGCAACAAGCAGAAACAGAGCCATTCCTTTTTACATCAGCTCTCGATATTTACCATATCGAGTATACCATATTAATAGGCATGCTTCTAGAAGTCTCAATATATTATTGATTTCGAAGATAACTTTGGTGGGTATCGGAAAATTTAGAGTTTTATATTTTTTACATTCAGATGTTGTTAGTTATTGGTTTAATATTGCATGTGTTTACTAATAATTGTCATTTAATTTACAGTTAATAATTAATAGTTAATTATGACATATATTTATTTATCATTTCTTTATTAAATTTTTCTAAGAAGCTTTTTTTCTCTCTCTTTTCGCCCTTTTCTTGCATTTTTATGGAGATAATTTATTTTATTTATTACTTATTGTATTACTAACATAATTTTGCATCACTTATTTTATTTTACTTACATGTGGATCACGATAATTTTATACTACACACAGAAGAGTTGAGATGGTACAAAATTTAGGCAACTAATCATAGTTGCCTAACATTTTTTTTTTTTTTTTTGTTAAAATCGGAGTCTGTTTATGTGATTCATTCCTGCTCAGAATATGGTAATCTAATACAGGTAGGAAGAAAATATGAACCTAGATAATTACATATTAAAGCCTTTTCAAATTCACGAAAATGAAATCATGTCTTAAATAGCTCTAAAATCTTCTAAAATTTTTATGTTCATACAGCCAACCATTTTCTGAAATCTACCGTTAATGAAAACTTTACGCAGCTTCTTATTCTCTGGTTTGCAAATTGTTGCAAGTTTGCTACTTTCTGTTCCGTCTTTTTGGTAGATAGGTGGCGCTCTTGATGCGCGCCGATGAAAAATATTCCACTTGACGCTTGAACATGAAGAATGACGCATGTCATATTTATTTGATGCTTGATTATGTTTCATGGCCGCTATAGGCGGAAGTAATATAAGTAATATAAGTTTATCGTTAATAAATGTTATTTCTATGTTCCGTGAAATCTTGGAAGTTTTTGATTTGAAATTCTAATGCTCTCCCAACCTTGACTTCTGAAACGAAACGATCTTTGAATTTATGACTCATGAAGAGAGACACCATACATTTTTTGGGATCTGAAACCCGCGAAAAGGGGAATTACCTTTTGAAAGGTAAGAATTTTGATTTATTTGTTCTTGGTATCGATCTTTGAAAACGAAACATAATGGATGATTTAGCAAAAGAGAAAAAGAAACGTGCTATTGTACGTAGTAAAGTTACTACACTTCTAAATAAACTTGAGAAATTATTATCGGAAGAATTAAGTAAAGAACATCTAGAAGATTTAAATTCATCATATGAATTGTTAATTGAATACCATGATAAACTTAAAACTCTTGACTCAAAGATCGATGCTCTCATAATTGATGAAAAAAATATGATAACGAACTACTTGTATGTGAAGAGTATGATGAAAAAATTATAAACGTTTAAAAAAGCTAAGATTGTTAGTAAAGTAAAGAAAATTAACAGTAATGAAGTTGTTGAAAGAAGTATAATTACAACTAGTAATGGTATTAGTAGTACTCTGAATGGTAATAATGTTGTTACAAGTAGTGCTTCAGTAAAGTTACCTAAATTAAATATTGAAAAATTTACTGGTGATCCCAGTAAATGGTTCGAATTCTTTAATTCGTATGATAATGCTATTCATTCTAATCCAAGTTTATCTAAAATAGATAAGTTTACATATTTGAAAAGTTTATTATCTGGTTCAGCATATAATTGTGCTTCTGGTTATGCTTTATCTGAAGAAAATTATGATCTATGCATTAAAAGTTTAGAAGAGAGGTTTTTGGTCGTAAAGATGTTATTATATCAAAATTCATGCAGATGTTGTTACAGTTAGAACCAGTTAAAAGTTCTTCAAATGTTTTTGAGTTAAGAAAGCTCTATGATCAGTTACAAATCTGCGTTAGAAATTTAAGTAGTTTAGATGTTACTAGCGGTTCATACGGACAGTTATTGAACCCAATAATTCTTAAATTGTTACCTGAAGATTTAGCTCTTGAATTCCATAGAAAAAGAACATCTAACCAAAAATTGAATTATCAAAACAAAACAGAATTGAATTGAAGTGAATTAATAGAGTTCATTAAAATCGAAACTGAATGCCGAGAAGCAAGTATTTTGATTAATAGCTCAAAAGGTAATAAATACACAGGGGTTAATCCTAAACAAGGGTTCAAAAATTATAAAGTCACAAATCACAAGCTTCTTCTGCTTTTAACACATCGGTAAAAATGTTTTGCATATTCTGCAAATCAAACGAACATACATCTGCCGGATGTTTGAAATTTTCCAACGAACAAAAACGAAACAAATTGAAACATGAAGGTCGCTGTTACAGATGCTTTCTGAGATCACATTTGTCGTCTTTTTGTCGGTCAAAAATACAACCCTGCGAAAATTGTAACGAGAAAAATCATAATAAACTTTTCTGCCGTTTGAAATCGAAAGAAATGGAAGATGTTAAATCAGCAGATACGCAAAATAAAACTTTAATATCTACTCCCACTGTAACACTCTAAAACCTGAAAATAGTGTGCTTTTACAGACATGTTATTGCTCAAAGAAAAATAAATCGAGAATCGTAAGATTATTAATTGATTCAGGTAGTGAACGAAACTTCATCACCCACAAGTTAGCGCGCGATTTAGAATTGCAAGTCATTAGAAAAGAATTTCTAACAATTTATTCGTTTGGAAATCAGCGCGGTAACTCGCAAGAATTTGATGTATATAGCTTAAAAATAAAAAATAAAAACGATGATCGCTGCCTTGTTGTAGAAGCTGTAGGGATAGAATTAATATCATCAATAGAATTCCAATTCCAGGCGCCATCAACATGTCAAAACATTAAAGAATTTATGACTAAAAAAGGGTTTGGAACTTTCGGATACAAGTCCCGTTAATGAGAACATAAATATTCTGCTTGGCGCGGAGCATTTTCTGGTATATACAAACAGGAAGTAATTCAATGATAAATGATGGTTTGTTTATAGTACCGACGATATTTGGATACACAGTGATGGGCAAAGTAAAAAATATTAATACTCGAATTAATGCGTTGTTTTTATCTGCCGTTGCACATTTGATTTGCAGTCATTTTTGAAATTGGATTCGATAGGAATTGAAAATGAAAACAAAACATTTTCGGAAACTGATTTGGATACTATTAAGCATTTTAACGACAGTTTGAAGTTTAATAACGGCAGGTACGAAACAAAACTCTTTTGGAAGGACAATAAATCACAACTCGCTGATAATTTTTTCGTTGCTAAACAACGATTTCTAGGACTAAAGCATAAATTAAAGGGAAATGATTTCCTATATAATGAATATGATAATATAATTAGAGAACAAGTTGAAAGGGGGATTGTTGAACAATGTAAGTTTGTTGAAAATGAACCTAACTGTTAATTATATGCCTCATAGGCCCGTTATACGTGAAGGAAAAGTAACAACAAGAATAAGAATAGTTTATGATGCCTCACCTCTAGGTCTGAAGGAGCTAAATCGTTAAATGAATGTTCTGATATCAGGCCCTTAATTTAAATCCTAACTTGTTGGATATAATTTTAAAATTTCGCGTACATAAAGTTGCATTTTGTGCAGACATAGAGAAGGCTTTTCACCAAATTCAAATTGATAGTGAAGATAGAAATTTTTTAAGGTTCTTGTGGTTTGATCATTCTTTTACGACAATAGTGACAATAGTTTAGGCTTTAAGGTTTTCCGAATGTGCCGAGTGCCGTTTGGAATGACAACAAGTCCGTTTATTTTGTCCGCCACTATCAAACATCATATTAAAAGGGTTATGAAAAGAAAAGGAATATAGCAAAGCTGTTGACATGTTAAATAAGTCCCTTATATGTTGATGACCTTATCCATGGAGCAGACTCCGTTGAAGAAGTTTTTCTCATTATCAACTGATGCAGTTAAAATTCTTCAAGACGCTGGTATGAACTTAAGAAAATTTGAATGAAATTCGGTATCTTTAAAAAATCATTGGCAAGATATTGGTTTAATTAATAAGGAAGATAAGTTGGATAAGAAAACGTTAAAGGTGCTGGGAATAATTTGGGATTTGGATGAGGACACATTGAAATTAGATGTACAAGAACTTTTACAACCAGTTGACTGGAAACACGTTACAAAGCGAAAGGTATTACAGATTGTGGCAAAAATTTATGACCCAGTTGGATTCATTGCACCCTTTGTTATCAGAATAAATTCTTATTACATACAAGAGTTATGGGAATTGGGTATTGATTGGGGCACAATTTTGCCCAGTTATTTGAGTGGAAAATTTAAAACTTGGTACTTTGAAATTGAAGTTATTCTCAACTTGTGTATTCCTAGAAAATATATATTAAATGATAAATGTGTAAATTTGATAAAATAGAGCTTTTTGTCTTTTGTGACGCCAAGAAGAGAGTAATTAGACTCAAGGGATATGGAGCTGTTGCATATTTTCGTGATCCTGATTCTTGCTGTACGTCTTTTGTGCTTTCAAAGAGCCGTGTATCCCCACTTAAAAAATTAACCTTGCCTCGTTTAGAACTTATGGGAGCCATTATTGCCGCAAGAATAGTTAAATATTTAAGGAAATTGTTTAATATCCAAGAAGATAATGTATTTTGTTTTAGTGACTCTAAAATTGTTCTTCACTGGATCAGGGGTACCGCTGATAAATGGAAACCCTTTGTTGCTAATCGTGTACGTGAAATACAAGATCTTGTATCACCTTCGCAATGGAAATACTGTAAGGGAAATGAACAATCCGGCTGACATAGTTTCACGTGGATTAAGAGCTTCTGATCTAGTGGGGAAAATAAACTTTGGTTCAATGGACCAGTGTGGTTAAAAGAGAAAAATCTACCTTCATCATCTTTTGATCATTTGGGCGACCCT